TTTAGCCACGCCAATCTCTATTGTGTGACACAGAGTAACAAAACACTAGCGAGCACACAATGGAGGGTCGCTGTGGAGCGCTAGAAATAATCATAACAATGACAGCGTCGTATTTATAGTTGCAAAGAGACTCCCGACAGCAACTCTTAAGTGCTTTGTTATTAACAGGAAGAGCTGCTCCCCATCAAGAACAGACAGCAGCCCTCTTTAATGGGTGACTCATGCTTAAGTAACCAGTGAGGCTATAAATATTAACCAAAGTGCTAATGCAGCATAACTCCAAATGTAGATCTGATTCTTTAACCATGCAAACTAAAAGAGGGGGGGGTTAGAGAGGCAACAGAGGGTTCTGATAGAAAAATGGCTTTCCGAGCATCAGTAGCCAGACAGAGATCATTGGGTCATCTTGCATCTGCAGAGCTCTTCCTGAGTGAAACTCAGGACAATTGAAAGCAAGAGCAAAAACAGAGACAAAAGGGGAATAGAGATTGCTGCAGATAGCCAGCACCAACATTTCATCAAAAGTAATGACAGCAGTTGAGGGAGGGCGACGTGTGCAGACAAGTTGCCAGATAGACAAAATGAGGGGTCCTTTAGTGCATCATTTGATAAGAGAGGATGTTTCTTGATTGTTTGCTATCAGGTCACCAGAACCAGCAGGAAGAGAATAAGTGACTTGCTTAAGATTAGATGCCAAAGTAATAAAATAAAGCTTCACTCTGACTCAAGTGTCCACACTCAAATACAGGATGTTGCACGTTTGAGAGTGAGGAGGAAACGCTACATCATTGTTCAGTTTCACAGATTTAGTTTGCGTGAAAAGTTTGTACATACTGAAGCCGTGTGGTTTTCACACATTTTTGTCAACATGTGCAGGTTCAAGCACGGGCATGCTTCTAAAACCCCAAATAAAACATGGCTTATAATAAATGGACCCGCTCAGATTAAAGTTACTTTTACCCCTCTGATGTAAAAAACTCCAGGAGTTATAAAAGTAGGAGTGTAGAGAGCCACTGATGCATCTCATCCAGGAACACAGCTTTCTTTGGCTCATTTATGAGCACTGAGACAACACATGACACACATAACTCAACATCCTTCCTGCAAGAGGAAACCTTTGTTCATCGTATCATTCTGAGCTAAATTTAATAAAAAACAATTCCACAAGCTCTCTGTACTTTTTCAGACAAAGTCAAAAGAAAAGAAAAACATAAAAGTCAGCATAACTTCATGCAAACTATAAAGGTTTTGATCCACTGATCTGAACAAAAAGGCAATATTAAGTTTTATTTTCTATCAGCTGTGGGAAGCAAGGTCAGTCACATGCAGTGATGCTTTTTGGTTTTTATTTGCACCCCGTCTACACTAACCGCTGAAGTTTGTGGCTGTTTTACTTTTCTGTGTCAAAGTTTTTGTGACCATAATGTTAAGCTAGTCACGCGAAAAAAAAAAAAAAAAACTCCTTTAAGCTTTTTCTTGCATGTTTTATTCACAGCATCAGGAGCACTCCTTACACTCTGGATTGGTTGGAAAAACATCCAATCTAGTTTCTAATTTTGGTTAGATTAACCAAAATATTGGTCAGAAACTGATTAAGCCATTATTGATTAAACAAAGACCAAATAAAAATGGTAGCTGACTGTTTACTACTATGACTGTTTGGCTTTATTCAAGTGTAGTGTGTATGGACTTAAAGAACAATCACAGTGATGTGTACGTGTATGGAATTCAAATCTTGGCTTTAACATTGGTTGTCACATTAGTATTAACTGTTAATAAATTCAAATACTGCTAAATTCTTTTTTTAAATGTCTTTAAATAAGTTTATTTACACTTAATTTGAGTAGGAAAGTAAGATAATCTGCCAATTGAATGATATTTTTTACCCTAAACATAAGATAATTAGATTTTATGCACTTGACATAAGAGACTGCAGTTGTTTTTTCCCTTTTTTTAATGTACATTTTCTTTTTCCATTGGCAACGTTTCTCACTTACCTGTCCAATAATAAAAAAAACACTTATTCTGAGAAAATTTTACTAAAGACTTTTATTTTGTTGTATTGAAGAAGCATTAGCAGGGACAGTGACATTGGATGCAGGAGCTTACCCACAACCACAGGGTTGGTGATTCAAGACCTGAACCTGGATTTTATTGTTGTTAAACTAACTAAACAATATTTTAGTCAAAAAAAAAAAAAAAAATTGTATTGGGTTTTCCTTTTATCAATATAGCTTGGTTAAAGACACTACCAAATTAGATAGTTTTTTTTTAAACCAAAATATTGGTTGGATACAAAACTACCAACCAGATTGATAAAATTTAACCTATTTTCTGGTTGTATTGACTGTATTGATCGGTTTTTAGGGTGAATTTACTGAAACATTAGTTTTGGTAGGAACATAAGCAGCACGCTGTGCCAGGATGTGGACAGTTTAATGTGGCTTTAAAGTCTGGTCTGATGAACTTTACTTTCAATATTCAGATGTATTCAGATATATGGTCAGACGTTTAACAGGAAAGTGTGGTCCTACCCAACCAAGCTGCTGGGCGTGGCATAATGGTCTGGTAAAGATTTTCTCGGCACATCTTGGGCTCTTTCTAACCAGCAGAGCATCATCTAAACTCCACAGTTACTTTTAGCGTACATTCTTTGTGGTCTAATATTCTCCATCATAAACTATGGGGGAGCTAAATGATTGTACATTTTTTTCAAGGTATTTCCTGACTTATTAGGCAAAGAGAAACCTGTGGATTATGGCTCCTTCACAGTCAAAACCAAATAAAAAGCAGAGTATAATGTAAAAGAAAACTCAGTCTCGTTCATTTTAGACATTTTTTTGGCAATTCTACAGCTTTTAGGTATTGCGATTTTGACACAAGCAACTTTTTCTCAGTGTAGAACCTTCCTATCAACATGTTTCTTGCAAGTGGCAGTAATGTCCATGTTTTACTTTTTTTATTTTTACCGTGTCCTGTCTGGCAATAATATTAATTGTCTTGATGCCAAAAAGAGAGCCCAACAGATTTTGCTTTCACAAGTGGAGCAGTATGGTTATCGCCATAGTGTTCCGCTTGATTTATGCATATAAATAGCTTTATTATATTTCATGCAGGTAGTATTACAGATTATATGAACAACGCAATGTAAGTAGAACAGGAAAGGAAAAATGGAGATGAAAATAAAATGAGATAACAACAAAATGTCTTCAGTCTGCTTCATCGCCTGCAAAGAGAAGTAAAAAGAACAGCACAACCAATGGATATAGTATAAGATATACAATAAAGTAACACCTTGATACCATCGCTGGAGTATAAGTGGTATTAATTAATCTGACATGTATACTGTGGTAGTTGAAGATAAGAATCAGGGCTTTCTGTATGGAAGCGAATCTCTAAATACTTGGAACCAAGCACCTGTAGTTTTGTGAGAGTGCACTTGTAAATGTAAAGTTTGTCCAAAGGAAAAAAGGTTGTGAAGAGCTGAAGCCCTTCCAGAGCACCAAGGCAAGCGCCGGGGACCCAAAGCCCCAGACATCCAAAGGGACTCCAAGAACAAAGGCGCCCAGGAGGGGCCAACCCAGGAAAATGTTCATGTTAGAGGATCCATCCCAACTTCACGGTCATGATGGAAAAAAAAACACTATCCAAACACCAATGTAGACAAGGAAAATTTCTTTCTACATCCCATTTTTCATTTAAAAGATGTAAACCAAACCCTTTTTTTTTTTTTTTATCAAAATGCACCAAAATTTACCTTTTACGTTGCTTTGTTATCTTTTGAAACATTCTTTCCTATTTCAAATGTAAAAAGTAAGTAAAGCTCTGGGATCACAAATGGGAGTTATTAATGTAATGCTGCTGAGCTGTGAGGACACTGCTGAATGCATCTCGACCACTGATGGGAGACCCTCCTATCTTCAGGACACAGAACTTGGTGACACTGTGAGTTAACTTTGCAGCTCCAGTTTATCTGTATCTTCACTGAACATTCTTCAGGGGGTTAGAGGGGGAAATGAGCAAAAAAAAAAAACAGGGAGGGGGTCGGACTATGAACTCTGGATGTGGATTTTTTTTTTTGTAAATTCAAGATAAGCTGAAGAGCTGTTGCACTGAGCTTCCTTATTGGAAAGCAAACAAACAAAAAAAACCATCCTCGGCAGACTGAAACTCCTCTGACAAAGGAAACTCCCATCAACCATTAGCAGGATTCCTTCTCAGGGTGAACCTTGGCAACAAGGATAATCCATCCCTGGAGAAACTGTTGGTGAATCACAATCATTATGGTTTAGTCTACATCCTGATGAGCCCAAAATGTCTTGGGCGAGGCTAGGGTTTGGCTTTGTTTCTAGCTTGTGGTTTCCCATTGTTCCCTTTTCCTCCACTCTGTCAATCTTTTAATTTGGAAAACTAAAGTGATTCCTTTTGTATCCATACTAAGACACCTCTCTTTAATTTACACATAACCATCAGATGCACTCATGTTTTATTCCATTTAAGCTATTTAAGACTTCTTTTCAATGCAAGTCCTGGCAGCAGCTTTAGCACCACCTAGTGGCGTGTGATGAATGCAGGAAGAGGAAAAACTTAAAACATGTCTAGTGACATCAATTAAAAACAAAGCAACAGCCAGATGTGTGTGATGATAGGGTCACTTTAAGAGCATGAAAGCGAAACAATACTAAAGACGGAATATGTTTAGTCTACTTTTTATATTGCAGAGGAAATGGGATTCTCAGGGCTTAATATTTCCTGATTTCCCAAAGAGCAGAACATTATCGTTTAGGATGGCCTTCAGTCTTCTGGGAATGTTATCACTAATTACCTGAACAGCGAGCAGCAGATGTTCAGCTTAGTTCAGAAAAAGAAATCACAGAAAACACTCATAAAAATGTTAACTTTAATTAACATTTACAGATGACATTCTCTCCAAATCTTTATTCAAATTTACCTCTTTTGCCCAAATGGCATTTATCTTACTTAGACAAAAAACCAAACAAAGAAAAAAAAAAAAAGTTTGGCACATTCAAAATGTTAGTGTTTTCATTTGTGTGAGGTTTGAAGGAATGAGGCTTTAGTGTTCTGAAAATATTTTCTCAATTTCATCCATCCAGTCAGAAGGAGATTCTTCCTCAAAGTCCCTGTGAGGACAGAAGACAAAATGCGATTCATTTCTTTACAGTGTTTTTATAGCAGAGCTGTTTAATAGAAATGATGCAAAGCTAACAAATTCCAATCATTCCTCCGATACTCTCAAAGTTCTCCCTCAACGCATCAATATTCAACGTCTGAACTGTTTATTTTTTTTGAAGCAGACATAGAGACGGGCTTAGAAAGTCAAACATATCTAATTCTAAAGACAGACAATGAATGTGCACATTTAATCCAATTGAGAGAAGGCGGTTTCCAAAGGAAGCATGCATTATTATGACTATAATACGTGTGCGTTAAGACGTTTCCCTCTACTCGCCAAAGGCATTGATATCCTATTCTTGGGTTTTCAGGGATCAATTCTAACTGATCTTGTTCCTGGGTGGGAGGTTTTAAAATAAACTTCAAATTCAGAAAATAGAGTTGTGTGCAATAGATATCACCACTAATATTTAGTTCATTTTCCCTTGGCTTGTTATACCTTAACCATATGTGCATAATTGGCTGGTTTCCCAGGGCAGACCTGCCCTAAAAAAATACAAATGTTGAGTTTGGACCTTTTGCAAAGCTATTCCGTTAGCCTGATTTTAAGCCAATTTTAATGTATGATTAGGATCATAATAGAATAAGAAAACTGGAAAAAGAATTATTAATTTATCCTGTTACTTTTACAAGAATTTACCCCTTTTTAATGATACTTATACTCTATATGACTAGATAGATCATTTATCATAGGCAATGTTACAAAATGTGCTAAAAACAGCAACCAGTCTTACGTGTCTTCATCATCAGAGCGAGGCTGCAGTCTGTACTCGTCTACAACTACCTCTGACTTAAGGCCGTCAGTCTCATCGCCCTGCTTCCGGGAGAGGGGCCCAACTAGAGGATTTTCATCTGAAAATGGAAATAACAGCATCATATAATGCCCTTGGTACCATTTGGAATGATATCAATCTGATGTCTGGAAAAGAAAAAGAAAAAAAAAGATGCTCTTGACCTCCTTTTTGAATCAAAAAGGTGCTGAAAGCTTTGTTCAGCTGGGCCTTCTCCAGGAGGCTTAGGATCCTCTCAGGAGGATCCCGCACCCATTGTTTTCTCTGCCTGCCGGCCTCTGATTCACCTGGAAAAACAAGGAAAGAACGTTGGGATCATATCTCCAGAGTTTTCTTTTATACCGCTGCGGAAATTAAATTCTGGCTGCTTTCGTACTTCCATGGGTGGAGCTGGTCTGGTCAGCTGCAGCCATGCTGTCTGATGAGACCAGGCTGGCGTTGGCCAGCATCTGGAGCACAGCACTCGGTGGCTCAGCAGTCCACTGTTTTCTAGGGAGCGGCTCGGTGCTCTCACAGCTGCTTTTAGGGAAATCCTCACCTAGGTAAAAAAACTGGGAGCTTTTAGTCCAACTCTATTAAAAAAAAACAGACTTTATAAAGAACCATGTCCCTTTCGCTTTCAACTCATTTTATATTTAACACCACACAGGTTAATGTATTATTTTTTCTTTATGAATCATATATATATTTAGACTTAGACAGATTTATTTTGTCATTTTTTTATACATAAGTGTAAAGAAAAAGAAATTTCGTAAAGAACAGCTCTCTAGACAATTTCATTTTTTAAATGCAGCCTTGAAAACATTAAAAAAATACATAAAAACAGTAATATAAACATATGACTGTATATTTATAGTTATAACATTTCAGTTTTTTGTTTTTAAATAATAAAATATAACAAATATCATAAAATACAATAAAAAAACCCATTTTACAATAACATTCAGCAGTCTAATGGCAGTGGGGAAGAAATTGTTATAGAATCTGCTGGACCTTTAACAAATACAATAACTATATAAGAAAAACATATTCTTATTAATGTGACAACAAAAATATACACCAACTGAAAAAATAAGAAAAAAAAAAAGAAAAAAAAAGGGGAAATTATCTAAATAACTGGTCACAAAGCACTGATTACCATTTACACTTTAGGATGGTACAACCTGTCCATAAAGGCAGGGGTGGCATACTCAGAGGCTGAGCGAGCATCCGGATCAGTATAAGACTGAGAAAGATGGTCCAAAAATGGCTGCCAGATACTACAGAACATTATACTGCAGTTTCTCCAAATGAAGAATCTCAATAAAATCCCTTAACCATGTTTTAAACAGAGGAACCTTGTCTGTTTTCCATAATCTTAATATTACTTTCTTAGCTATTACCATTCCATACACCACAGTCGTTTGCATAGAAATGCCGCGGTTCCTAAGTGAAGGAGTATATCCAAACAATGCAATCTGGGGGTCTGGAACCAACGTGCACCAATACACTTCAGAAAACAAGTTGAAAATGTCACCAGTATTGAAAGAGTTTGGGGAGCCATCAGCGCAATTACAATTATTTTAATGCAAGTTTGCATATGTAAGTCTGCAAATGAATGCATTTTCATAAAATATTTTCGTTTTAATGTATTTTATGTAACAGAATAAAAGAAAGGATTAAATTATAATGAAGCAGCTAAAAATGTTTCAAAAATCATTTGCAATGAAAATCCTTAAAAATTGTTGATGGAAAACTCTAAGCTGCGCCATTTATTTAATCCAATAATCTTAAAAAAAAAGCCTTAAGGTAGAGTTGATTTGTTTGCATTTAATCTCAGTATAAATGCAGTTTTTAGTGAAAACCTGGGAGCTTTTTACAAAACACTGGTGAACAAACAGCACCAAGAAGACCAAGGAACACAAAAACTTTTTTTCCTTTGTTAGAATTCTAGAAGGACTGCTAGAGAACATCCGCCTGGTCAGACATTTTATTGGTCTACAGCACTGTAGATATGCACAGTTGTTGTCTTTTTGATATAGTGCTGCCGTATTTACAACCACTATACACATTTGTTTGTCCCCCATAAATGAAAGTCCGACATTTATTTTCAGCCATACCTCAAAAGAATTAATTAAATAATAAACAAACAAATAAAAAAATCATGAGACAGGCCTGGACAAAAATGATGGGACCCTTACTCCTAATATTTTATTGTTCCTTGAGGCAATCGCAGCAATTAAGCGATTCCTGTAACTGTTAATAGTAAGTCTGCTCCTCTCAGCAGGTATATTGGCCTCACTGACAACATCAGCAAACTGCCCCAGTTGTTGAAGGCTGCTTTTTCCACGCAGAGTGTTTCACCTTATCTCAAATATGCTCTAAAGATTTAGGTCAGGGCTCATAGAAGGCCACTTCAGAACAGTCCAATATTTAGTTTTTTTTTTTTCCACTAAGACATTCTTGGGCATTTTAAGCAATGCATTTTGGGTATTTATCTGATGTAAGATCAATGACCTGCATCTTGGACCAAGCTTTCTGACACAAGGCAGCACATTTCTCTCAAGAGTCTTGAGATTTCATTAAACCCTGCCAATATTGACGAGGCCCTCTATCAGATAAAGCAAAGCAGCCCAGAGCATAACAGAGACACCTCCGTGTTTCACATTAGGGTCAGTGCTCTTTTCTTGATATGCTTTATTCTATTTCAGTTAAATTAGAGCTGTTGTTCCTTGGCAAATAGTTCAATGTTTGTCTCATCTACTGTATCCGTAGGACATTCCCCCAGAAGCTTTGTAGCTGGTCAACATAATTCAAAAATTCCCGTCTCGCTTTGCTTTTATGATTTGTTTTCAACAATGGTGTCCTCCTTGGTTGTCTCCCATTAAGTCCACTTTGTTTCAAACAATGATGTTCCTTATGCATGTAGTTCACCTTTTATCTCTTTTGACGTTTTTCTGGGCTCTATTGTTAGCATTCATATTATCCGTTTCTTTGATTTGTCATAATTTATTTTCCTGTGGCCACCTCTAGGTTGGCTAGAGTCCCATGGATCTTAAATTTCTGAATAATTTGAGCAATTGTGGTCTTAAGAACATCCAGCTGCTTGGAGATAGCCTTCACCTTGAACAGCTTCAATTTATATATTTTTCTCCTAATCTCCTTGTGTGAAGCTTTAATCTCAAACGTCCTGTGGCAGTATATGCACTCAAAGGTAATTTATTAGAGAATTGATTTATGAGGTCAGAATATAAATGCACAGCACACTTCAAATAAATAAATTCCAGGTATTTTTCTTCCTTTTCACAAACATTTGGAAATCAGTGCTGATCTATGATTTAAAGTCTCAATAAAATGCATTGAAAATGATTATGTTTACATGAATGATTATGTTTACATGAAGTGTAACAATTTCAGATTTGGACTATTTGCAAAGCACAATCAACCACCTACCTTCACTTGATGTTTTTATTAAACTCTTCTCTCCCAGGAGATTAGCCACTTCCAGCCCTTCCTCCTTGTTCCATCGACCTCTTCCCCTCTTCTCTTCCTCTGTCTTTAAAACAGCCTGCGTGATCTCACCCAGGATGGGATTTCACAGATGAGGAAGTTGTGTAAGACTTTAAAATGGTTTGACAGTGAGTTGTAAAATCATTTTGGGTCCAGAGTTGCTTGTGTCTTTCTACCTGTGAGGGCAGATGTGAGCGCAGGAGTCTCGAAATCCTGTGGGAAGTCAGGATTGTCTGCACCGACGGCCTGTCTTTTGGATTGGTCTTGAACATTTGCTTGATTAGGTAGTGCAGCTCATAGGGCAGGTGTTTGGGAAGCGGAGGGTACGCACCTCTGCACACCTTAAGGATCAGGCTCTTCCAACTGGAAGCTTGGAACTGGACACAGGAAATGAGAGTCAGGACTCCTGAGATAACAAACCAAACCAGAACATCTAAAACAATATAAAAAAACACACGAGGATAATCTAACCCAGCTGAAAATATGGAGCCCCTGACATTAAATAACAAAGCTATGCAGGATCTCAGTGATTTTAGTCAACAACTGACTGATAAATATTTGGACAGAGGCCTTTAGCTACGTCAGAGAGGGGAAAGGCAAGTACCGGGTGTTTGAGGGTGCAGAGCTCGTAGAGGACACAGCCCAACGACCACACATCACTGCAGGAAACAAAGACAGAAGGGGAAGTATTCATTAAACCCAGACGTTCGTCATGCACTGTAACAGACATGTAACATTACAGGAGTTACATAATGAGCTGGAAAACAAGACTGTGACAGCCTTGAAACATCAGCTTATTTCCTGTTTGCATATTCAGTCCTGACAGAGCGGGAAATAGAAACAGAAGGACGGGTCTAGTTGCTTTACACTGTCAGCGACAAAATGATCTTGCACTAATGAACGTACTGAAACTGAAATCTCAATTACATTGCAAATTGTAGTTGACAATAAAGAAATTGATAGATTGCCACTAAAGGTCAAATTAGGTTTGTGTAAAACACTGGATGAAGCTTTAAAGTTCTATAAAGTGGACACACATGAAAGTGTCCTTGCCTTCCCCTGCAAGACTGCAAAAGCAACCAAACAGAACCAAGCTGTTCTCCTGCGCATGACGAATCATGATGTCGCATCAGGCCACAGGACAACACCCAGGACCAATAACCGACTTGTTTAGTAGATTTAAACATACAGAGCTAGGACAGTGAAGAGGAGGATCTTCTGATTAAACAAGACATTCAAACAGAAGCATAGCCTTTAAAATTGGGCAATGTAATTACCTTAATCTCTTCGAAATTAGGCTTCTTTGTAAAAGGCAATTAATCTAATTAAAATCACAAATAACCTTGTAATCAATCCATAAAGGAGCATTTTTAAAATGTGGGCCAAAGCTACAAACAGCATCAGAAAAGCACAGAGAGAATCCACACAAACACACAGGAACAGTTGTTTAAAAAGGAAATCACTAAATACAGAAACAAACCATGTTTTCAACGGCCACGAAGTGAAGGATATACTTTAAGGATTTAGTTAGTTATGATGTGATTGAGATCTCAGCTGAATATTTGCATATATCTGTATGTAGGGCAATGTTTTGGCCGCAGGCGGGCAGCTCTTTAAAAACTGGCAGGATTCTGTAGAGGCAAACACACCGTGGGCTTAGAGAGCGGTCTGAAAACCACCAACAGGCAACAGTTGCTCACTGCAGCCACAAATCCTTTTAAGCACCATGCAAAAAAAATAAAACTTCTTATCGGTGAAGGGGGATAAAGTTCCCTGTGGTTACCTCAAATATTTTTTTCATAACTGTGGACATTCTCTGGATACTGAAATGATAAATATGCTAATTAGATAGATAGATAGATAGATAGATAGATAGATAGATAGATAGATAGATAGATAGATAGATAGATAGATAGATAGATAGATAGATAGATAGATAGATAATTCTTTCTTTAAATATTTAAATACTTTCAGAAAGTAAACTACCTCTTATTGTTGTATGGCTTGTTGTCCCAAATTTCTGGTGCCACATAATACGGCGTCCCAACATACGTATGAGCATAAGCCTTGGAGCTGCAAAAAAAGTACCATCATTTCTTTCAAATATAAAAGCTAAAGCAGCAATGTGATATCAGAGGTTCTCTAAATTTGTTTTCCTACAGCACCTGTTCAGAATGCAAGCAGAGCCGAAGTCCCCGAGCTTCACTGAGCCGTCGTCTGTTAAGAAAATGTTCTGTGACAGGAAATGAGAGAAGTGGTGATTTAACATTAAGGAAAACATAAGAGGGTTCAGCTGAGTCAGATGACATCCCACCCAGAAGGAAGGTGTTTATGGACGTGGACTCTTCCCTGTTTCGATAAAGCAATTCAGTTCAATCCTTATATAAATTCATACTTTGAAGTAACTCTACCTTAGACTTTAAATCTCTGTGCAGAACCCTCTTATCATGAATGTGCTGTGCACCGGCACACATCTGAGCAAACCACTTCAAGATCTGGAAAGAGGGAGAACATTTTTTATTTTATTTTTTTCAGAATAAGGGTAAAAATAAGCACAAGAACAGAAAAACAAACAAATAACAGCTGCAGGCATTTGACCTACATTATCAACAGTAAACTGAGAGGATTTCTGCTGCAGAATCCTCTGAAGTAGATCCCCTCCACCGCAGTACTCCATAACAATGCACAGGAGGCTGTCAGCTGGAAACACACATTTTGTTTTATGTGACCAAAGTAAAAGCTTTAAAGGAAAAGTTTTCACACCACTTGAGCTTTTTTTCATTTAGTCCTGATTTTTATTTCTATTTTATGGTCTAGACTAGGAGTAGACAACTTTTATAAATCAGTATTTCTTCTGAACATGCGGTTAAACTGGCTTACACAGACACAGCAACATGAAACAATAAGCTCTTCTTTTTCTTAGGTTTTAATATAAGTATAAACTAATTTTTTTTTAACCCAGGTCACCCGAGTCGAGGACCAAGGCGCTAATCACTGCGCCACCTGCACGTCCCAATCAGAATTAGCTTGTATACAAAGTTGATGAATAGATGTTCATACAAGTTTAAAAAAAACAATCCGCAAAACGTCTTCAAACTTTGGAAACCAAGTCCAGTGGATTTTATTTATTTATTTTTTTTTTTACTTTTACGGAATGACTATGACCTGGGTGACTGAGAATCTTCATCAGCATGCTGAATAAATTTCTCAAAGGGGAACAAGAAACTTTTTTTAAGAGATATATCACTGAAAAAAGAAACAATTGTTTTATGTCCTACCCTGCTAACATGAAACAATTGTGTTAAAGTAACTAAATATGATTAAGTAAATGCAAAGAAACACTTGCATTCTGTTTTTCAGTGTATATGAGATGACTATTGGTCAAATTAGAGCTTTATAAAAATTTGTGAAGAAAGTTACTGCTAAAAAAAGAAGAGATCAAAAATTTCTTGTTGAGACACAACATGTGGCTAAAGAGTAACACTGCAAATGTCTTTACACGGAGGTGGCAGCATTATGCTTAGGAGATGTTTTTAATCAATAGGCAGTTATGAGAAGATGGATAGAGATAGATGTTGTTCATTTGTTCTACTTCAACTTAACTTTTTTTATGTTAGTATTTCTACAAAAAACAGAAATCAATTCTCTAAAATGGTCTATAGAAAAGATCCCCCCAAAAAACAATGAAGAGTATGACATGTGAAAAACTGATTTTTTCTTTTTCATCTGGAATGTTTCAAATTACCTTCAAATGCCTCCTTAAAAGCCACAACATTGGGATGCTTCATTCTGGACAGCAGGACTGCTTCCTTTCTTGAACTCTGTAGTTTGGATAGCTTCTGTATAAATCAACAAAGAGCATTCCATGTAAATTAGCCAAGTTAACATACATAGAAATAATCTGTTTGCACCCACCTTTGGCAGCTGTATTTCCTTGAGTACATATTTATTCTGAGAGCTTTTGCATTGAACCAGCACAGCTCGACCGAAAGACCCTTCCCCGATCACTCTGAGGTGGGAGTATTTCTCCATGATGCTCTCAAAACGCTTAAAATACAAGAAACTTTCCAAATACAGACAGTCAGTTAGAAAAAAATATATATAAAATGTCCTATTTTGCACAATTCTCCATTCAAAGTTCAAAATTGGTTCACAATTTATTGTAATTCAACCAGGGCCACTCGTGTACTTTGTTGTGTCGCTACTTCCTTATTATTGTATGACGTAGTGTGAGTCGAACTGTACTGCGCTGATTGGCCGCTAGATGGTGGCAGACTACAGTTTCTATTTACTTTGATTGGAAAGAAAAACGTGGCGCAACCTACTCTGATAAACCACAGCATTTAAAAGCATATCACTATTAATATATATTTTATACATCCTAGGTAGTCAGCTACTTTGTTGTGAAACAATTAAGCATGTTTCCAAAACCTTCCTATTCTTTATTCATTTTAATTTTATAACATAATTGGCTTTATTTACAAATACTTAACGGTTGTTCCTTTTATCCTTCATTTTATCTATTCCATTATGGCTGCAACTAATGATAAATTTGGCAAATCAGTAAATCTGTGAATTCTTTTTTGATCAAATGATTAATAATAAGGTTCCTTAAAGATTTTCTATTAAATTAAACCAGGTGACACTAAAACGTTTCCACTTAAAGAGTTCTGGAAAGAGCATATTGACAGACAAAAAAGGGTTTTTAAAATCTTAGTAGAATTTCTGCTCTAAGTGGGTTGCTCAGGCAGGTAAAAGCATGTTTTAGAGTCTCTATACTCCATTTGACGTTTAATCATACTTTCCTACAGCATTTGCTAACAAATAGACGCATATATTTAAACATCCGTAATTTCTAGATAAAAGGTATAGTGGATAAAATTCTTTCAGCTTTGAGTTCTGGGGCGTAAATCTTTTCCATTGTCATTACTTACCAACTTGTATCGATAAACATTCTACATAAAACTGATATTTACAAGCACTAATATCTACATAAATCGAGTATTTGATAAGATTTTATTAAAATTGTTATTTATCTATGATTTCACTTAAGACCTCTAGATGACTTGCAGAGACACATCATTTTCTCTTTACCCCATAACACAAACTCTAGTTCTGAAAAGAGCAGCAATTCTGTACATATCATCTTTGATGTTAGTATATTGATGTGCATAATTAACCACAACAAAATAAAATGTTTTCAATATTCCAGTTGAGAATATTACTGCTGCCACCATCTGTATTAGAGGAAAGGAAAATGGTAGGGGTGGCCACAGGGGTGGCTATTGATTGCCTAAGGGTGCCCATGGCCACCCTTGGCCCCCCATCTAGCTTCGCCACTGCTTGTGAGAGCTATTAGAACAGCAACTTTTAAACAGACCGTGCACGAGGAGAAATCAGCTTGTGCATGCTCTCGCACGTGCATATTTTTCAAAGTGGAGAATCCTCCACAATACCTTTAAGCATTCAAAATCCAATTAAACTGTTCTAACATCATTAAGTTTCTGCATAATTTTCAAAGTGATTTCAAAGAACCTTTCAATTTTCAGAAAACAGCTGAAATATTGATGCCTAGATTCTCTTCACACTTTCATTATGGAATAGAGGTTCATAGTTGAATCTAATACCACAAAGAGACTACAACTTGGATTTTAAAATTCATCCTCCTGAAAATTTACAACATTATACAAATAATAAAATCTGTTCTGAGTTTCTTACATTTGTCCAAATTCAGTCCTAAGGGTTGCTATTTTGAATGTTGAAATTGCATTTGGAAAATAAAAAACAGTAACAGCAGATTAAGTTAAGCTGAGACAAAAAAGAAACAAGCAGCTTCCTCGCAATGAGCAGAAAGTACAAAAGTTGACTTTGAGATGTGAAGTGAAATTTATAAGTACCCCCCAAGTACTCAAGTAAAGTAAAATTACTCAAAGTACTTAAGTACAGAAATCAAATAATTTTACTTTTCACCACTGCCTTTGACATGAAGAAGTTATTTCTATCTAGACTGCTACAACTTAATGGATATTTTCTTTTTCTTTCTATGTGAACCTGAGAAATGTTTTTTGTGATAATTCCAGATAAAGCACAAAAATAAATTACACTTTAAATGATGTTTCTAAGAAATCGTTCTCAGATTCGCACCCAGTCAACATTATTTAAGCTGATGCATTACCGCCGACCCTTAGCAAAAAGTAGTATACTCTATTAAGAATACTTAAGTATAAGTTTAGAAAGTATACCAAACAATGTACTTTTAGTGTACTTGAAGTATTACTAAAGTAATACTTCTTCGAACTAAATTGGGACATTTTGAAGTTTAACTTGAGTAAACAATAAAGTAAGCAATAGTATAGTTGAGTACACTTGACTAAGTATATGAAATATAGTTTAGAATAAGTAAACTCTAAGTGCACTGACTGATTTTAAGTATGAAATTAGTGCACTCTTAGTATACTTGAATAAACTACTTTTTGCTAAGGGAATCCTACAGCTACGCCCACCATACATGTTCTTACAGCACTAAGTATATCATCACCATTTTCCCAGTTACAGGGAGGAAGTATGACAGTAACCACCACTTTTCAGTCAGAAAAATGGAAGCTGTTATGTTAAACCAAAATTCAGACAGTTGCTTCAGCTTTGCTAGCAGTGGTAATATCCAACATTGTTGAATCTCTCAATCTAAAACAGATACGTTTAAGGTGGAAATCCTTAAGAATCCATGGTCAAATGTGTCAAAAGTTTCTAATCCAGGTTCATCAATACCAGCTAGTTTCTATTGATATAATTGACACTAATACACACAGAGCAAAGAAATATTATATTTCTTTAGTGTATTCTATTAAAACTATTTGGTGAAATCCTGCTGTGAAAATCCATTTGTCATTACCCAGCTTTGCTTTTATTGACAGCCTACATGTGTAAGTGGAAAAAAATACACCACTGGATTCCATATTTAAAACAGTCATGTTCAGACAAGCTCTGTTTGACTCAGAATCATCTGCATGGTGAGGAGTTTTTTTTTGTGTGGGGTAATTTTACTGTCCCTAGTGAGGGTTAGTGATCTATTTAGCTGCTGACCTCAAACTGTGGAGGGAGATGCTTTTCTCCTGGCTGAACTACTAATCACACTTTTAGAAAAAGTGGGCAGAGTGTGTCAGGTTGCAGGGTCAGGCCATCGTGACATGGATAAAAAGAGGGTCTTGAAGGAACTATAATGAGGGCAGCTGAAATGATCCCTTTCCCCCTTCTGCTTTTGCAGCTATGAATGCATGAAAAGGAGCTAACATGCGATGGCATCAGGGTAAAAGGGCTTTAATTGGTCACAGATGGAGAAGCCTGATATTATTTCACAAGATTGGAACTTTTGGATATGAGCCAAAATGACTGGCAGCTAAATTAGGAAAGATGGAAATAAAATAGAGTCTTTCTGACAGCGGAGTTTCTTGTGGAAACTTCTAATTAGGTCTGAAAAGGCTCAGTTTGGAGGAGGATGTTGAACTGATGGAGCACAGCTCAGGTATTTGGTGATTGATTTATTCATTTTTTAGATAATGTTTTTTTTTGTGTGTGCAAACACTTGTTAACTTACTTAGAAATACGACATAGATTCAGGATATATCTCGATTTCTATTCACATGATTGATTTAATTAACATTGATCCTGTTTATCCCTCTTAATTTTTGGTTCATGTTGAGTCAGGTAGTCTTTTGGGATTTTGTGGAACAGAAATTTGCTCTTTGGATATTTGGATATGGAAGAAAAAGCATAACATTTAGTTTGTATATGCAGAGAATAGAATTATGGTCCATTATTCTTTCATTATTTGGTAAATGGGTTCTGCTCAGTCAGAAAGAAAAGGGTGTCAGTGAACACAAGTGTATAAAGCTTCCACATATTGTCGCATGGTTTAAGGTGTGATCCTGGAATAAGTTATCCTGACACATCCTGTAAGTTTAAGGATGATGATCTATTGGAAGGAGAAGGTTTGACCCAGTCTGACATATTTAGTTTAGTCTCAGGCTCTTTTTTCAGTTTATCTTTTACATCTCCAAATGTTCAATTACTTCTGAGTAGAGGTGAGTATTGGCATGAGTGTTGCGATTCGATACATGTCGCGATACTTGGGTCACGATACGATATTACCATGATATTGCAGTATCACTATATATTGCCATATTTTTCCCAGCTATCAAAATCAAATGATGAGATAAAACAGCAAGTGCTGTATTTTTCATCAGAAAATATTGATTAGGTATTATTATCCATGTTGTTCTTCCACTGTGACTGCCTCAAATACAGATTTGGTGCTGCACACACAGTTAAAGGGCTCCACAGCACTTTCTGCCAGAGTGGTGGTGCAGAGGTAGCCCATTTTCCCATCAATGTTTTATGTAACCATTTTTTTTTTGAAAATCGATACTAAGAAGTGAAAGATTGATATTATATTGGGCAGCCGAATATCACGATATATCACCAAAACGATTATTTCCCACACCCCTACTTCTGAGCATGCTTCTTAATCCCTGCTGAAAAAAATACTTTCCCCCAGCATCATGCATTCATTACCATCCTTCACAAAGGAAGTGGTGCATTAAAAGTAATGGCGCTGTCACACCGTGACAATTTAGCCAGTGTATATAAACGTCCCAGAAACTGATAGACTGTTGGCCTGAGGTCAACTTTCTTTTTCCATTTTGGACATATACATACAATATTTATAATGAGTTTAGAACTTATATCCAACGACAGCCTAAGTTAAGCATAACGCACGGCGTATTGCTCATGAAATGTCACAACCAGTGTCCTGAGGGGGGAAGCAATGCGGCCGGAGGCACCAGGCCTACATAAAAGGTGCAAGAAGAAGATTTCTCTAAACTTCGCAGTTGCAGTAGCTGCTGTTTACCACCTGCCAAAAAAGAAAAAGAAAGAAATAAAGAAGGTTTGCAGTCGCAGCAGATTCAGCGTCATGTCTGCTAGGAAGTTTGTTGGTCATGGGCGTGAACGTAGGAAGGATCCATCACACTCGCCTTCGTAACTTACAATTAGTGTGTCAACGATCACATAACTTACCTGTAGCTCATGGCCCACGTATGAGCATACACTGGCAAACTTCCAGAAATTTTGAGCGCCCAAAATTTCTTGACATATTTGTTGACATGTGCCAGCGTGCTCATAAGTCATACAAAACTTACCCATAACTTATCTAACATATGCCAGAGTT